GAAGCCCCCCTACTTTGCCCCCCCCCCCCCAAAAGCATAGGGAACACAGGGCATCCCTTTCCCACAGACCAAGAGTTCCTCTCTATACCTTGTGGCTAAGAGCCGCTGATGGACCTCTGCTCCATGTGTTTATCTAGTTCCCTCTTGAAGCTGTCCATGCTTGTAGCCGCTGCCGCCCCCTCCTGTGGTTCTGAAGTTCTTCCTGAGGTGTGGCCTGTCAAAAGGAAACACTGTAAGATGGAGCTCTTCCACCAGGCTTCCGATTAGGGTGCCGCCCTTCCAGTAACGAGGCCCTGGCCCCAATACCAACATCAACCCAGGCAGACGATCAATAGCCTGACAGAACCCCGACTGCAGTGGGAGTTGATCACATGGGTGCCGAGAATGCCGCCATCGGCTATGAATTGCACGAGTGCTTTATGATCTGTTTTATTCTGTACTGATTTTGTTTAAATGCTGTGTTTCAACTGTTTTAACATTTTTCTGTAAGCCGCCCTGAGCCTGCCTGGGCGGAGAGGGCGGGATACAAATTAAACAGGCAAACAAAACCCTGGACTGGGTGCGAGAGCCCCAGACTCTGTCCTGGCCGCTAGCGGGGCCTGGCACAGATTTCAGGGGTGCCTTCCTCTGTTAACTGGAACGGCTGTTTTGGGTATTGCGGACTCCAGTGAAGTGAAGGGGCTCTCACCCACTAAGCCTTCACCCATGCGCGAGGCGTGCCTCGGAAGGACATGGGGTGGCACCATCGCTTTGCCGGAAGAGGCGCTGCGTGGCGTGCACGTGTCTGGTTGTACGATCCGGAATCCCGAGATTTTGGCAGAGAGCAACCTTCTGGCTTTTTCCTCCTCCCCCTTTAATGTTCTGCAGGAAATCCCGAACGCGCCTCCAAGCGGCGAGTGTGGATTTGTGGGCAGTCCGTGGTCGTCTCTGCCGAGAAGCAGGCATCTGGCACCGAGGCAGGATCCCAGCTGGGCTTGGAGGAGGGTGTCATTCTGGAGTGGCACGGGCAGGAAGGCCTCACCTGGACGCAGCTGGTGCCCCTGCTGCAGAGCCTGGCGGCTCAGGGGCAGGCCCCAGATGTGCTGGTCGTCCACCTTGGCGAGAGTGACCTAGAGGGTCACCGCGGGGCTCCGCTGGCTTCCACCATCAGGAAGGAGCTGGAGCTCGTGAAGGAACTCTTCCCTCAGGCCCGAATACTGTGGTCCAACCTGCTCTTAAGGAGGCGTGGCTCTGGCAAGGCGGGCTCTCGCACGGTGAACCGGGCGCGCACCGTGGTGAACCTCGAAATGGGGCCGTTCGTTGCCACTCTCGGGGGTGCCGTCATCGAGCACCAGGCAATTCTGCACACCGACCCCGATTTCTATACAGACGGCGACAATCTCTCCGGCCGTGGCCTCGACCTGTTTCTGGAGGACGTTAAAAACGGGATACTGGCTCACTTGCAGTCTTGACAGCGCGAGGAAGGTAGAGGCGTCCAACGTTAGCTTTCCAGCTCTCCACGCGTGCGCGTATTTTTCAGGGAACCTTTTGATCTGGAATATGAATGTGAATGCATTGGAAAAGGTGGTCTCCCTGCTGAGGGGAAGGCACAGAAAAGCAGCCGGGACTTCCTGCTGCCAGGGGGAGGTTTCCCGCGTCCAGTTTGTTGGCGCCAGAGCAGAGGCCGTGGCCCCCTCCTGTGTCGGGGGGGTGGGATCTTTGACAGCAGTCGGACGGGGCACAGGAAGAGGCAGTGCAGAAGAACCAAGGGGATTTTAAAAATCCCCCCCCCCCCCCCCAGAAATCTCCACTGTCTAATAAATCAGTGACCATCACAAACTTTTCTTGTGTGCAGAAATGATTTTTTTTAATTGCCCTGCAAATAAGAATACTGTACACAATAGTAGGCTGCCCAACCCCGTCCTTGTGCAGTGAGCATCATCGAAAGAGCCGTGGGGTGGGGGTGGGGACCTGAGAGCAAACGCAGAGGCTCCGGATCACCTGCCGGCATTGGTCTGGAGTGGCGATTCTGCCCGGGAGGTTCCCGAGTGTTTAGGTCGCCAGTGATCCTAAAGGGAATCTTGGAACTCTGCAAAGGAGGACAGTGCGGATGTCGGCCCGAGTGCTGCCGGCTGAGGGTTCAGAGGCAGAGACCAAGCCAGCCGGGAGCACCGGGGCACGTGGTGCCTGCCCCCCAGTTCCCGTGACACCTGAGCTGTCCAGCCTTACAGGGTTCTGCTCCGATTGTTTTTTAAGGCTCCCGGCTGGGATGTGAAAACCTGTCTGTCTTGACTCCCCAGTGCGCTGTCACACAGTGCACACTGCTTCCCGTTCTCACCCCCGGATCACATTCTTTACTGCCTCCCCTCCTGGGTGTATCTTACAACAATATATGGCAGAATCCACATAGGGTGTGTGTGTTTTCCTGAAATGTCGGGGTGAAGATACTTCATGAGAAAACCC